GCGCTCGAGGCGCTCGTTGTGCGCGTGTGAATTGCGAGTATCTGCGCACGATCAAGGATCCAATAAAAATCGGAACGCACGCCGAGCTCGCTCTCTTTCCCGTCCTGCCGTGCCACCGGTCACCTAACAGCGATGGTCAACTGAGACCCCCGACTTCGCTGATCAAGGCATTGCTATACCAAAAGAGATCTCAGCCATTAACTCTTGAAACGAAATAGAATATTTGACGTTTCCGAGCTTACGTACTATCTTATTCTGCGGCCGGAGCGTTAGAAGAAGAATTAGTCATTTTGGCGTACATCAAGAAATAACGGTGGTACACAAGTGGCAGCAAAGGGGCGTGCTGACGTTTGTCATCCAAACGAGATTGTAAGCATTTGTATAATTTAAATCACGACATTGTTCGAGCGTAACATGGTATGAACGAGAATAACAATTATTTGAATTTATTTTTTGACGTAAAGATAATTAATGGGGATGTCGACATAGCGAACTATTATATAGTGTGCATGTGCGTATGTGCGATTGAGTGAAGACGTGATCGCGTAGATGACTTTTATAATAATACATGGCAATGAATAAAAATGAATGTTTCTTATTTTAGTGAACCTTCCAATTTATTACGTATCTCGAATTGCCTTTTGCTAACTTGTTTGTTCGAGCCAATCTCTTTCATTCGTGTGTAAATACCCTGTTGACCGGACATTAATTTAGAATTTACAATTTCTCGGCTCGTTCGGCAAGCATCATTCCAGTATTAGTCAGAAAGTTCTTGGCTATCAGCGAGGCAAGTTGTTCTTTCGTTACTAACTCGATTCAAGCGCACTTATAATTTCCGATAGTCTAAAGATATTATTTGTTTTTTACAACTTGATTTCATTTGTTTATTCATAATTAATAATTACTAATAATTTTTTTTGTCATAATAATAAATTAGATATAATTTTGTAATAATTGTTTTTATTCACACTACTCTTATCGCGAACAATGGGGTCGGTATTTTTGGGCTCTAAGACGCACATGTGCGCTTGTTAACTTAAATTTCGCCTGCCTCTTCGATAATATACCAGGAAACGCGAAAACTGAAGCGTCATATGATCCACGGTCGTCGACCTGCGACCGAGATCTTATCGCTCGGCTGTTGGTTCAAGTTTGGCACGTTCGAGGGCTAAGGCACATGGGTGACTCGAATTGTCAACGTTGAATGCCTTTCTGAATGGTTGTATACGGCCTGCGTTTGACGGATGGAACAAAAAATATGTAAACCGAAGTGCGAAGGTACAAAAAAAAAAATTGTCAGCGACCGGCGCGTGGGTGCCGGCGCTTTGAGTATGCCTCTCGGGGTGATTCGCGGAAGGCTAGGCGGCCGAAACTCTCTCTGCGTCGCCAAATAATTGAAATTTTATGCTGCGCATAAAAGCGCAACGCAAAGTCGCTACCACCGCCCTCAAACAAAAGAACTAGGCTCGTGCCTGATCAGGGCTGCCAAGTAACTTGGAACATACAAGTTCCTTGAGTTAAAAAAAAAAAATAAAAAAGAAACGGAGGAAGATTTAAAACTTCTACTCTCCTCCAGATAATAAGGCAGGCAGTGGGCCGCCACCGATGCTGAGTCGTAAGACTCGTAAGAGGAGCGGGGTAGTAGACCGCGCGATAAATGTAGTAGGGCTTCCCGGGCCTTTGGGCCGCGAGTGGGAGAAAAGCCGCAAGAGAGAGGGAAATTTCGGCGGTGGCCGGCCGGCGTTTTTCCTCCTGATGGCGAGCCCGAGGCGAGTTCAGACGCGCGCTAGCCTTCTTTAAGCTTGTATCCGATATTTGTTTCATTTGTTTTTGTATTGCGTTGTTGCTCAATAAACTGTAGTATTCATAACAATTTAGCATTGTGATAATTCCCACTTCCTTTATCCCGAACAATCAATAACAATTTATTATATATATATATATATAATTATAAATTTTTATTTTAATAATTAATTTATATTATTCCATTAATCAATAAATAAATTATATTAATAAAATAAATTATTAATTAATAAATTAATTTATTAACCAATAAAATAAATATTTTATTAACTAATATATACCTATCGTTTGGTAATAAAAGTAAAAGTAAAAATAATTAAGGGAAATTTTCATAACAGAATGGTACGGAATAATGCCAAGTGTCAATCCCCTATTACAACAGAATAATAAATAAAAATAAATTCGTCTATTTCACAGAAGAAAATATTTCGCAAACGCGCGCATCAAATTTTAAACGATCGTTTATAAAATAATACCCCAAAGGAATTTTGCTAAGCCGCGTTTCGACTTTCATATATTTTTAAGCAAAAGAATCACGTTGCCAATGCTATTCCGTCAACTAAGCACGAAATGTGGGAACGGAAGAAGGACGCACCCGGTCTCAGAAGCGAAAACTCTAATTACGCTTACGCGACCAAAAAAAGAACGAAACTCCACCGAATCCCTGAGCGCCCGATCATGTGAAAAAAACAATTTTCCACGTCTCCGGCGTGGCTTTAGCCTGCTCAAGAACGAGCGTCCTATTCACCCGTATCGCGTTTCGTACAGCACAGGAAAGAAATTATATTTTTCTAATCGCAATTATAATTAAATATAACTAAATATTACACAAAATTAAGGTAAAATAATATATGAGATATGAGAGAAAAAAAAAATATTAATAATAATGATAAAGACGGCGGATTAATTAATATGTATTAATATTAATTAATACGCATCAACATATATTAACACTATGTAATACTATATATTACACACCAATAAATAATATATATACTAATAATATAGTGTATTAATACCCATTACATTAATACTCGTGCCAATCAATATATATTAATCAATGTGTATTAATTTTGTGAAGTTACTAACTAAATTTTTAAGATTTTATCAACGCGAGAAAAGCGAAAAGATAAAGCCTGAGAAACCACGCTCTGCTACCAGTTGATAGGTGACAACTCGCGCGAGGCGAGTTTGTCCCGTACGAAGGCCTTTTTAACAGCCGAGCGGCCTTAGACTCGGGCGGCGGTCAGGCTTTCGGGCACCCCGGCCCGTTCGCGCGTCAATAATGAAATTCCTGTTAATTATAATCCGACACTCGATATCGCAATTGTAAAATAATTAATTGAACGTTTATAACGATTTACGCTTGTTTATTAAAAAGAAAAATGTAATAGCGATTTTCTTTAATATAATGGGAAGGCATATGGATACACTTATAGGCGTTTATATTTATAATATTTATTCTAGTCTCTTTCACAACATAAATAAGTTAAGCAGAATAGAGAGATATATATATATAAATTCTCAGACGCGTAATTTTCACCTCGCGATGTCTATTATTTTTTGATTGCATAAAAAGTGTTACTCACTTTGTATTAATATTGTAAATATAAATCGGTCCAAAATATTATTTGCTTCGTGATGTGGCCAATCACTTTTTTTGAATCTGGTCAGATTAACTGGTCCAATATACTTTTTTATCCAATAGTGTGGCAACACACAAGAAAATGATAATTCCTATGACTTTCGTTTACACAAAATTATTAAAACGAATGTACTCGACACTTCTAATACTTAATTATAACTCGAACAATTATATTCTCAAACTCTTATTATGGATTTAACTTCAGTAGGAAAAATGCAGCCTTCTTAGTTGAGCGCTCACTCCTAACTGGCTAATCTCTCTCGTTGTTTTCGCCGGTTCATTATATATCCTTTGTCCTTCGCATTCCGTCTCTCTCTCGCACATATGCTTTAGACGTTTACGCTTCTCGTATCGGCTCGTCTTACCTAGCTAAGCACGCTGACTGCAGCATGCTGTCGCAGCATGCTGCCGCAGCGTGAATCAGCCTCTGCCGCTCATTCCCACCGAGTCGCGCACACGAATATTGCTAGCTATACTATGTCCGGACGGAAATTGCGAGAGCGAAATATTATTTGACAAAATACAATTATAATACAATGAAACGTCACGTAACAACCGGCTACTTCAAGCATACACACGCGTACGCAGATATCTTACAATTATCAATGATGACAGCGACCTTAAATCTGCGAGTCCACCTGTAGATTTTGGGGAAAAATTAAGAGGAATTCAACTACTTTACTTTAAATTTTGGAGGATTACTCTACCAACGGCGGATTATTACACGATAATATAAAAAAATCATGTAAGACGCACTTTTCTAATAAGAACAATCGCAAATTAGAAAGAGTTTAGGAAAACCGAGTTGGCCTTTGACGAAAGTAATAATTACGATTACCGTTTAAACTAGAATCATTAATTGTATCGAAGTTTTGAAAAATTGTAAGCGTGATCACGTAAACTTTAAACCTATTTAATAAAATTGACAATTGTTAATAATAATCAATTTAATTTGTTATTGCCACGATCTTGTTCCTGAGATCTTGGTCATTTGCCTTTTCATATAAGCTATACCGACATTTAAATGTGATGTTTGCGCTGGCCATTTAATATAAGTCCAGCATATCATTTACGTTATGTCTTGATTCTATATATTAAATTTTACAAAGCCTATTGGTTTAATGATTTTTTTTCAAATAATAATGATAGTTCTCATATGAATTCTTATAAAGGTTGCTCGGACGGTCGGCCGACCCATGCAGCTTCATGAATTTCTTTATGAGGTTATTTATGAGAAATAATACGAGAAGTGGGTCAATAATATATAAGGACGCATGGAACTTTATAAGAGTTCTTCTAAACTGATTTTAACCAGGGATACTACGACATACGATCGTTTAACTAGAAGTAAAAGTGCCCCTAAAAATCGCTTCTCGATGTGCGGTAGAGGAGAGAAACGAAAACTACCAAACTTACTTCCTTGATTTATGTTTGCACAAATAATTCCTGATATGCCATTACTCACTCATACTACACTTATGTCGCATTTTCTAATAAACATCAATATTTGAAAAAAATCAAAGTAAAATTTAATTTTGCATTTCTTTTTCAGATGAGTGGACGAAGGTCAAGGCTACGTAACGGTTGTTACTCAAAGAGACATAAAAGACGCTTGGTACAAGCGCAGAATGAAAAAGATGCCAAACGTAGGAAAGAGTTAATTGATACAATAATAATAAAAAGATAGAGAATACAAATGACAATCTCATTTCTATACAATGTACGCCAGTAATTATGGAAGAACCAACAGGGACCGCAGTTGATAACCTACAGGAAGCTGGTACTGATAGTACATTAACTGAAAAATCAAACGATATAAAACATCTCGAGCAAACCAGTACAGACAGTATATTACCCCCAGTTTCGAATAACATGGGAAATCCTTTTATGATAGAATGCGATACTACAACTAATCAATTTTCAGAATATGATGAAGTTTATGATTATATCATCTTGAATGATGAGGAATATCATTACATATATAGCGATTGTGATGAATCAGATCATAGTGGTATAGATTGTAACACGTACGTTAATAATTTAAGCCCGAACAACGTTGCGTCACAAATTATTTAAGGGGAAAGGCTCGGAAGGCGCATTCGCTTCGTCGCGAAAATTTAACGAGGGCTATGTCGTCCGGTAATATAGATAATCGCAATTTAATCAATTACAAGAGAGACAGGTTCGAACAGAATAAACTCATCAATTCGAATATTTTACTCTTTATTGCAACAATACTATACATTCGGCTTTTGACGTGTGCGTCGGCCGAGTCCGGGCTAAGTTCGTTCCGTGCGAATTAACGCACAGGAAACAGAACGTCACCTTACAATTTGTCCCGCGAATTCCGCGAGGGCGATGCGAATTCACGTATCTACCCACTCTTCCGCGTCCGGCCTATATGATGCTCGGAGAGAGAGAAATCGAGGCGCGCACCGATAAACTAAAAAGGGTACCTGACCTTGAGAGGGAGCGCTGCTGCGGAAGTCCACGTCCTCTGAGCAACGATGTTGTCTTCGAAAGGCGGGATTGGATGCAGCCGGTCTTCCTTCTTGCTGATGGTCGCTATATGTCAATTAACCGCACAAGCACTGGTTTTTGGTCGCGAAGCTTGACTAGCTGGCAATTAATTGCCGGTCAAAACTCTACTGCTCGCGATCTCGCGCCTTCCGCGCTTTCTTACGCGCCCCTCCCTACAGGTACTCAAAACGGCCGAGCGCCGCCGGCTACGCACACATGTGCGGCTCATGCCGGCGACACTATTTCTCTCTCTCCTCCTCTGCTCTCCGCTCACGCCTATCCCTCTAACGCCAGGTATCTCCGCCGATCAGGAATCAGACCTGCAACAAAGCCACATCGTGCGTCGATACTCGGTTTTACTCAACCAAGACCGATGTGGCAGCGGCTCAGGGGAAGGCACGCGGAAGAGAGAGAGAGAGGCGAACAGGGCGATCGAATCCAACGATCGATTCGCCCGTCACAAGATGAACAAGATGAATTGGAGCGAAATATGGATAATGGTTTCAAAACGAATGAACTCGCTACAAATGTTGCCGAGACTATTTCATCGCAATTGAAAAGTGTCTTTGCACATTGGAGCACACAGTGTTTCATAACGAAAGCAGCACAAAAGAAATTTTTACGCAAGGTTCGTAATGAAATTCCTCTACTGAATTTACCTTTGGATCCAAGAACTATCATGAAAACTCCCAAAAACGGAGAAATTCATAAAATTCAAGGTGGAGAGTATTGCCACTTTGGATTGAAATCAGTTTTAAAGCAAATTGTTGAGAAGCTAAACTCGTTAAGCATCACGAGTAATGATATTGGTTTACTTGTCAACATCGATGGAGCGCCTGTCGGCAATGATTCCGTAAAAAACTTATAGCCCATTCTATGTTCAGATACAGTAACTAAAAATGTTTATATAGTTGGGGTTTACTGTGGAGACTCTAAGCCTGAAGACGCCGATGAATTTTTGAAATTTTTTGTTGAAGAAGCAAAGTTGTACGTCAATCGTGGCATTCATGTAGCCGAAAGTCAATATAACGCGTTAATTGAAGGATTAATTTTAGATGCACCAGCTAAAGCATATATATTGGGCGTTAAATGTCATGGCGGTTACTCAAGTTGCACGAAGTGCGAAATAAAAGGCACTTATCGCGATTGTGTTTGTTTCCCTGGAGAAGTTGAAACTTTACGCACAGATGAGAAGTTTGAAGCTTACGATGAATACAAAGAAGAAGGATATCAACTAAGAAAAACGATCAGAAATACCTAATCTGAAATTCGTATCTCAAGTGCCACTTGACCCTATGCACCTCTTGTATCTTGGAGTTGTAAAAAAATTGTTTTTGATTTGGCGGTTTTCGTCAACAAAACAAAAACTCTCAATTGCTATTTTAAATCTCATATCAAATATTTTCATTAATATTGGACCTTTTGTTCCGTATGAATTTGCTCGAAAACCAAGAAGTTTAAAATATATCAAACACTTTAAAGCAACAAAATTGAGGCAGCCAATTCTGTACAGCGGGGTTGCATTTAAAGGAAATCTTCCTAATGATACATACGACAATTTCACTATTCTACACGTCGTAACCAGTATACACAATCATCCTTTATTATGCGCGGCTCCTGCATGGATTAATTATGCAGACGATCTTGGAAAAATGTTTGTCAGAGGATTCAAAAAGTTGTACGGATCAAGATATGTGTTACATAACGTACACGGTGTTCAGCATGTGGCACAAGATGTTCGAAAATACGGCGAATTAGAAAATTTTTCGGCATTCCATTTTGAAAATTTCATAGGTTACATAAAAAGATTATTGAGGAGTGGAAATAAGATTTGCCAACAATTGCTCAACAGATGCTTCGAAATTGAAAATTTACAAGAAATATCAGCGCCCGAAAATAATGACAATAATTTGAAGCAACCACACAACAATGGACCTGTACAAACAACTTTTAAGATGTCTTGCAATATAAAGTGTGCCTATTTGATTCCTTTAAAATTAATTGCGATTATGGAAAGAATAATTACGTTTACGTAGATAATAGTGATGTCGTCGAAGTTTCAAATATAATTAAAGATAACAATAGTGTGTATATTGTTGGCCGAAAGTTGAAGATAATTGGACCAATATACGAACGTCCTTGCTTGTCAAGTAAATTAGGAATCAATGTTTCCGGTACATCTTCGCTTAACTTAATGTTTGAATATTAGAGTATAAGTAGGATCACTGTTAAAATTTTCATGGTACCATATAAAAGAGACACGCTTTTCCGATGTTACATACAATTCGATCACCACTGCCAGTACAGGTATCGTAATATTATTACATTTTCGTCGCAAAAAATATTGTTTAGCAAATTAATCTTATAAATTGTATGATTTCAGTGAACGAAACACACCTATGTATTATACAGCTGGGAACAATCTATTAAGTTCAATTAAAGTAAATGAAGATTTATATTAGTATAAGTGTAATAAGGATTGTTAAAAACAGATGAACTTGTCGATCTTTTACGCGTCCTTTTTTTTTGTTTCGAAAAAGTGAATCTATAAAAAACCGATAGAAGAGGATGGATTTCATATTTGAAAAAAAAAATTTTTATTGTTTTTTTCAACGCAAACAGGTGTATAAAGAAGTTCTTTCAACATTAACTTTAACATAGATTATAAACGAAAAAATGTAAATTTTTAGTTGATAAGAAGTAAGTTTTTGCGGCACATGTAATTTCATATTGAAAAGCTCTATACTCTTAATGACATTTTATTGGGTTATGTAATCGAAATATTCAACTAACGATTGGGTTAGTAAGACGTTATGTCGCTCAACCATGTAGTTTCCGTAAATTGTTCTTGTAAATGATATACGACCATTTCCACAAAAAAATCAATATATTCTGCGTGCGTTCTGAAAAATACAAACGTGAAGCGACCCTCCTAATTAGTTTAGATTATTATTGTACATTATATCAAGTATCGAAAACGTCCGAATAAAAAAAATTATTGTGACATCTAATCGCTCTTAGAAGTTGAAAAAAAAACACTGCGTATATTTCTTTAGTTTTAGGAACGAAAATATTGAAAGCGAGTAATCAATTGCGATTATAATTTTCTTGAAGTTATTGAGCCTGTTTTTATTTATAGTTTTATATTTCAAAGAACGAGGAAGCGAGAGAGAGAGAGAGGTGGGTAAAGATAAAGCCCGAATTTTCATTTTCTGATTATAATTTTAATTTCAATTCCGTGAGAATTATTACTCGTGCAATACAAATGAATGTTAATTAAAGTTGCGTAATCTAGAATTTTTCAAATTGTTCAAGTATGCTGAAAGAGAGCAATTTATTTTTTTAATTTAACGTTAAAGAATATGTTTCTGAAAAATAATGTAGAAATGTTGTTTAAGCGCCACGTAAATACTTGGAGTTCGCTTATTATAAGATTGTTCTAATTGTAAAATCCGAGCGAAAAAAAGGAAGCTAGTTTATGAATTAGTATTACGTAATTCCGTAATAATGTATTTTATTAGTTGAATTTATAATGCCGAATAAAGTTGTTGTAAAAAAAATAAAACTTCACACGCCGTACAATTCACTCTCCAAATAATTAAATGTAACTGACTTGTTTGTTTTTTTCCGAGAATAAATCGGTACGTACCAGCGACGTACCGGAAACATGGCAGTACCGTACCCGACACGTAGCGAGAAGGATCCACCGAAAAATTGTGTCCTGGCACGTGACAGAAACGTACCGGATTTCGTGGTGAGCTTCGAAGGTTTGGCATCCGTACCAACTTGAAACGTGTTAAGTACGTTGCCATCTCGTAGCAATACTTCCAGTTTGGTACGTACCAGGAACGTTAGAAATTGGAAACGAATTTCGGTGGAAAAATTTCGTTTGTGTTAGGAATCGTACCCGGTACGTACCAAGCTCATACCCAAAGACACAATAATGGTACGTTGTTGCTACCTTCTGTCAACTAATGTTTGGTACGTACCGGCAACGATGTTCTTGCTACTTAAGAGGACATTAGTGTGACGGCGGACCATTTTTTTTTCTTAAAATTTTAATATTTCTGTATAGCATTTAAGACAAGCGGAGAAACGAGAACAGTCGCTCAAAAGCGAGGGGGA